TGTTTCCAAGGCGTGGGAAACAGTCGGTATAATGAATAATAAACGAGCATCAGTTACATCAACTTCGATGTTCGTACCAATTGAGTCGTTCGCACTAAGTGGCTTTCTGCTTCACGAAAGCTTCCGCCATCATCTCATCGTCATCTCTAAGCTTTATCCTCTGTCATTTGCCCTTGTTCCGCACACGACGTTAAACGGCTTTAAGCGTCACTATTTAGCAATTTCTTCCGCTTCTGCGCTCAAAGTCGGATGGGATTTAGCTTCATTCAATTTGTATTCAACTGAATGCAGATGCTTTACAAGCCATTCTAACCATTCTCTTTGCACTACTCCATTACTCAAAGAACTGCTCAGAGTTGATTAAAGAGCAGCTGGAATCTCTCCATGATCAGCGATCGCAGTCAGAGAAAAGTTTCAACTTCCATTGCAGGAGAGAATGTGGTCAAAACTACCCCACAAACAGCATCAAAAGCTCTCCTTCATCGAGAATCCTTGTGTTGCTAACACAAAACCAAACAAGCCAAACAATCCCTTTATTAGCTATAATTTGAGAAATGTTCCTTATTAGATTCATGGAGATACTCAAAGTTATGGTCAACTTGCAAAATATGAGTGGAAATATGGGGAAAGTTTAAATCTCTGTCGCTCAACGTGAAGGGGTTGAAGTGAAGCTATAATGCTCACTCGCAGAGGGTTTTAGGTGTAAATCTCTTGCCATTCAGCCTCTTGATGGCGATTTTTTTCATCTTGTGGCAGCTGCACTGGAGCCGCCTGGGTTTCCCAGCCACCAAAGCACGGATAAGTGGCTTCTCTGCCATTTCCCCGAAGGCACCACGAGCACAATGAGCGTCACATTTCACCGAGTCTGTGTGCGCTTAGTGGTATCGATTCACCATCAATAATTCACATTTCATGAGGACTTCAATCAATTTCTGTCGATAAAAATGAGATTGAGGCATCGATGGCAGGCAAATAGATGTGAAAAGGGCGAAAGCGCCCCGCTTCAGCAGTGCCATCCTTCTGGGGTGGCTGCATTGGGTGTGAGAGGATCAGTTTGAGTGAAATTTTCATAATCCACCCTCTTCACTGTCGAGACATGTGTATTCACCCTGGGACACTGAGGGTGGGGGGCGTGTAATGAAGATTCATGGATGCATTCTGTGGTGTATTTGGAGTGTCGCTCAATTTCCTTACTTCGCTGATATGCCTGGATGTGCAGATATACTCGCCATAAAGAGGCCCACAAACTTTCTTCTTCCGCTCCCCAGATTCCTCGTAACTTTTTTAATAAATGGCGCGTGTCTCAATGTGAATTTCAATAAAAAGGCCTCCCTGTCAGCGTGTGATGAGAAAATGCGTCTATGTGAATTAATATTTTAACTCTATAAAGGAGACACTAGAGAGTGTGACAGAAAATGCCCCAGCGGAGCCAAGACATCCCTCAAGAGACACACTAATTTTTCATTCATCTTTTTTTCTCCTAATGTGCCTTCTGGTTGGAACATAATTGCTAATCCCACCATTTGCTCACACCGTAAACCCGCGTCTTGGTGGCATCTTTTTGCTCTCAATGGCTTTCCATGGGTTTCGTCAAGGGGGAGATATTGTGGTGCATAGCTGAGCTAGCGTCTTAGTGAAATCAACTTGCTTCGATTTCAAAATCAAGCTCAAGATTCATAATTCTGCAATTCTCTTGAAAAGCATCTGCAAGTGAGAATAAATATTTCCGCGTTCAAATTGCGGAAGTGTTTTGCATATTTCTGTCTACTATCTCCCCCTTGAGTTCTAAGGGTGGCGCGGATATATACAAATGGCGACAGCGCTCGAGGGTGAATTGTGGGCGGAGGGACGGAAAGAAGGTCCTCTGAATGACTTTAATAAGATATTCGCAAGAGCTTTCAATAAATTTCATGGGAGAAGGGCTAAAGTAATTCAGCACAGAACGTATAATTATAATGACCTTATTACTTGGAAGTTGCCTTCTTGAAAATTTTATTTCCCCACCCTAGACGCACATCCGCCCACTCTCTTGTCTTCCACGACCGACAATACACCGTGTCGGCTTCGAGGGGTGGATAATGGAAAATTATCGCAATAATATACAAGTGTTGGCCACTCTTGAGCAACGCTCCGGATCTCCTGGGCTGCAATTCCCGTATTAGCATAATAGGTGAGGCTCCATTTGAGATTTCTGCCTTGGATTTTTCACTGCTGCCTTGCTTGGAAATAATTAAATTTGCAGTGTTATCCCTGTTCACTGAATTCTTAACAATTTTTAGAGAGGGACGAAGAGTGGATGAAACAAATTTGTCCCACACTAATAACTTTTTCCCTGGCGAATTGTGGAGGATGTCTGGATGGTAAAGTGGTTTTCTTGGCCACTCCTCTGCAGGAGATTGTAAATGGGAAAAGCCCAGAAATATCACTTGGGGGGGAAGAATTAGAATGTACAAGAGTAATCTTTGTACATCCGCACAGTCAATAAAGGGGCAAAATTCAGAAAGTGCTCTCTTAAAAGCTCCTTTTTGCACCAATATTTATTACATATGTACATAATCTCTTGCTCACATGGAAGATAAATGGTTGCTTAGCAGAAGAATGTGTGCCTTCTCTTTGTTATTCCACCCGAGAAATGTGTTGAGCTGTTTGTGAGATATTGCAGTGATGTCTCGAGTAGTGATCGCGTTGACAATCTCCTCGGCAAAGGGCGAAGGGTGAAATCGATCCCATTCTCGCACCTGAATTCTGCTGAACGGGTGAAATCCACACGTGAAAGCTCTTCTCTGATGCGTGAAAGATGATGGTCGCCAATAAATATTTTCCTGGCGTCTCTCTTCACATGTGAAAATATTTTTGCAATTTTCCCGGGTGTCGTGTGAGCAAATGATGGAAATTTGTTGGCGCGCACCTCTGCGGATTCCACAGAGACGCACGAGAGGTGAAAAGTGAGATCGCTATCCTGTGGGAGAAGTGCGCCAAGAGCGGTGTGAGTTACGTGATTCCGATTTCACGTCTCCCAGGAACCAAAACCGAACAGACATCGCCGCTGGGTGTGATCAATTTATCAAGTAATAAATCCCCTTTTGACATTTAAATGAATTGAACGCGCAGCATTTTCACTCATTACCCAGCGGACTTCCATGACTTTTCCTCCTCACGCCGCGGAATCTCTTACGCGTGTGTACTTAGTTCTTTTCACTCTGGCTTTTTTTTCACTTTCCCTTATTATATTAGAGACCACACATACAGCCCTTAAAGGTCAATTTGTCAACGTTGACTTTATCATCATCGTCATCATTTCTCTCACAGTTTCTCTGGACATTTGCTCAGTGACTTTTTTCCGGCTTCCCCAATGCCATTTCTTCTCCGCACTTTCATTATTTTGTGGATAAAGCATGAATAAATTTTGTGTGATTAATGTCTGTACTTTCATCTTTTGCCTCCCTCACGGTGAGCTGAAGTTTGTGGTTGCCACCCTCTCATCTGAATTGTTAAACTCCCCCTCGCACTGCCAGAGAACAGTCGGATGGTTTTTCCACGCAGTCATTGTGAAGTCGTCCTCCGGCGAGATGTCCTTGCGAAGGGAAAAGGATGCTCCCAAGTTCACTCACAGAAGGAAAAAAAAGCCGCATGCTTTCTAATAAACCCGAATCACAGCTTAGCATTAGAGATATTGTATTGATTTTAAGGCAACTCCTCAATATTCAAGCATGAGAAATTATCTTCACTTCATTTTCCTATCAAAACTTGCAGAGGAAAAGTTGCATTGTGTGACAAATCCAGTTTTGGAGAGAAATAAGAAACTTTTATGAAACAACATCAACACTCTTAAAATCTTTATAATTACTTGTCTTAATTTTTTGCAATTGTAGAACAATTTTAGTATAGAATAATTATCTCGACTGCTCACGAAAAAAAACTTGTGTTTTTTCTACAATTATCGCAAGTGAACTTTAAATGTCATTTAATTGAAGAAGTTGTGAAATAATTAAAGATGTCACAGCGTTGACTTTCCTTCTACTATACTTGCTTATATTCTCCCACTCTTTTGAATTATGAATCGTGGCATAGTTTGAAATGCCGCTGTTAAATTTCCCACATTTCCCTATCAATTTTCTTGAATTCTCTTTCTATTTGGATTTTTTTCTCCCAAATCGTTGCTACACGGCAGTTATTTGCATACGTGATTGCCTGCATAAATGGTTATTCAATAGATCCTGGAAATCTCGATGGAATTTACGGCCGTAAAAGCGTGTTTATTTTGCATAGAAACAAACAATCCTGGCCAATTTATTTTTAATTCATCACCAATCAAAGAACAATGATTTTCGCGTTGAATTAATTGCTCTGCATAAGCACAAATGAATGGCAAAATTATAATGAAAATATCAATTAATTGGGAAATTTTTAGCTGATTGCCTGCCTAGAAATCAAAAGCCAGTGAAATTCATTCGCTTTTCAGTTTTGCTGGGCTTTTGAGCTTAGTGATAGCTTCTAAAAATAGAACTTCAATCTTGTAATTGATTAGAAACTGACACTTTCCTTCTCGTCAAGACATTTTCCATCACAGTCTTAATATCGAACGAAAACACTTGTTGAAAAATTATGATTAAATTTTCCCTTTAAATTGCGCAAAACTTTAAATGCTTTCATTCTGAGACTAAAAGAAAAACTCTCACTCAATTCAATTCCATTTGTGTTCGGTGATAAAATTTTATGAAAACCGCTTTCGATTTTGCTTTTATTCTCCACGCAGATAAACAAAAAAATATGCGTTATCAATACAAAATAATGTTCATTTGTATACACGAATAACTTGTGGAAATCAATAAACGAGCTCTAATAGCCCAGCTGACAGGCGTAAATGTGTTTGGGCGTAAGAAGATTAATCAAAGAAGCACTGATACGGCTTTAGAAGGCTCGCCGTGATGGAAGATAAACACAAGTTGGGGAAGTTGAGAAAAACAAAATACCTTCATTGTGAAATTCCTGTCTTTATCTTTTATTTTCATCATATTATTCTTCTCATCAAATTAATTACAGAATTCTTGTTTATTTCCCTCAATTTTCGTCACTATTTACAATAATATTTTGTCAGTAAAATAAACTAATTTCAAATTACAATATCATAATCATTTATCGAATATTTCTCATGTCACCTTACAATTGTCCATCAAACCAATCAATATTCAAGCTAACGCTTTTCTGTTCTTACATTTTCTATGTACAAACTCACTTTTCTTATGGTTTATAACATGCTGAAATGAGTGCTTTTGTCCTGAATAAGTCAAATATCCATTATCAATTGTAGGTAATATCATATGGTGTTTATAATTGTAATAAATGTCAAGTATATCATTTTGTCTTTAATCAATATTCACTAAAATAGGTCTCTGATTAATTTAGTAACCTCTGAATTAATCCATCTGTCTTTACAGCGTCACCAATGTGTCACACACACAGAAAAATACGCTACATTTGTGGTCCAGCTGCCCAAATTCTTCCCGCGTGACGCGCTTTTCGCGCCACTTTTCCACCAAGATGTTCAACATCGTCATCACAATCTTAAACATTCGGGTGTTTGGGCTCGTCCAAGAAAATCCTCTCAAACGCGCTAAGTTAAAGAGATAAATTTGTGATAATTGGTTTCTCAAAAGTCCCACAAATTGCCGAATCGCCCACAGAATATCAATTGCAGGGACTACAATTGATTCCATCGGAGGCTGAGCGTGAGAGTGAAGTGATGGAGTGCTCGGAGGGCAGCATCTTGCCTCATCTGTTGATCCGGGAGTTGCCAACGAGTGGCGTGTCCTCGTGGGGCCACAGGCATGCCAGCAGACAGACGACAAAGCACACAGAGCCGATAAACTTCCACTGCGGCGATGGAGTTGTGGCGCTGCCGTGATGCAATTCCGCGTAGCTTTCTCCTGAAACAAAGTCAATTCCTTGGAGTGTACCAGGAAAAATGGGATGCCAGTGCGAAGGACGAAAAAAGCTCTCGTGCACAGATAAAATCTAGCAGAAATTGAACTTTTTCCTCCCCGCAGACTCGAGAGTGAATGAGAAAGTTACACTTTTATTTGCATACGCTTCATAAGCATGAACGCTGGATTTCCGCAGGGACATCAGGAGAATGCTCAACTCAATATATCGCAGGGAAGAGCTCGAGATATTGCAAATTAAAACCTCTGACAGAGCAATTAATTGAGTTTTTGTGTGATTAAGCGCTCAATGAAATTGTATTGGCTGTTAAAATGCAAGGCAAACGATAACTCCGCCCACTCATTCGCTCCGCCCACCATAAATGTCATAAAACAGCTTTTACGGAACAATATGAGTCTTTTAGGAATAATTACGCACTTGAAACACATCGTACTCATCTAGATTGAATAATAAGTCTATCGGATTGCATTGTGCAATAATGGTATAATTTTCAATCCATTAATCGTCGAATTCAGCTGATACTCCGGAAAATCAATTCCAAAACATGCGAAATTACATGTTACTTTTATCTCCTGGCCGAATAATTCCACATCGGCTTTTGTGTGCTGACAGAACAATATAAGCAAGGCTCATTTGCACAATAAATTTCCCCGTGAAAATACAGTTCGGTGTATTTACTCTGGTAATTCTTCCACTTATGAACAAGTCTATTCACAAAATACACAAGGGAAAAGTTTATAAATTGAGGAATTTAATAAAACTTGAATATTTCATCGCAAAGTTGAGCTAAACTTCAACATTGGACGCTCTATGCAACTCTGTGTGTATTTTCTCCTGCTTTGTATAAACTTTTTTGGCATTATTTCATTAGAGTAATTGTTTCTCTTTGACAAGAATGTAGAGAAAAAAAAAGTAGTGAGATGACAAAAAAGGTATAGAAACATCTCTCACTTTTTTTGAGAATCAACGATGAAAGAGCTTCAAGGAAATTTCTTGATTAAACTGAAGAACAAAATGTTTCTCTCGTTCTCTCTGTTCTTTTCAGTTGAATTAGAATTTTCCACCTCAACACACAGAGAATGTCAATTTGGCACATTTCTCAAAGTGATTGCTTTTCTCATCCTCCAATTTTTTTTTAGGACTTTGTATGCTTTCAATCCAGTTTAACTACCAGAGAGAAGAGAGAGAGTAAAAATCAGACACTCTGCGAAAGTCTCTTTCACTCAAAAACATAATTCCCTTTTTCCGCACCAATTCACCCGTTGGGAAAGTTGGTATTTTTCTTTAATTGCCAACTTTCATGAGCCAGAGTTTGCTTGGCGCAAAACTCCCACGAAAGCTCGTTCGCACCTTTATATTCATACTAAATGGTGCACGAAAAAGCTCGACATATTCATGGCAGCAGTTCGCTGTCAAGGGTGTAATAAATGGTACACGATACGCGATTGAATAGTAAGTGGCTCTGAATCGCAAGCAAGCGCCTGTTTATTGTGAGTGTGTGCCAGGAGAGAGGCAATTTGCGGAAAACATTGTATAATTGTTTAGTGATCTCATAATGTATTTATGAAGGCGTGTGTGAATTGTCGCATGCAGAAAAAACAGCCGCGACGACAGCGAAAAATGATGAACGAGAAAAAGCAGAGACATATTTTATAATTTGTGTGTCACGAAATGAAATTGTGGGAGAAAAATTGTTTTGGAATTCATGAGATTTCCCGCAGTGATGAAGGAAAAAAAAAACCATATTTATTCTCAAACAATCTGCGAGATCCCTTCTGTTGACTTCCTCTCTGCGTTCCGCAGGATTTCAAACCCACAATTCTCAATCCACGCCGCATATCAAAACTCTCAGGTCGTGAGATCTTCCATTCACGTTTTTCTCCGCCCCCGCGCGCACTGTGCAAACTTCCATGCTTCACAATATTTTACATGAATTATCATATTTTATGCGATGCGTTCTGTGCGAAAACTCTCAATAGAATTTTCCGCACATACTTTAAATACACAATTTCCGTGCTGAATTATTGAAAAGTTGAATAGAATTTTATAGTACTTTCTCTCTCTCAATCTCATTTTTATGCATATTCCATCTCTTCGCACTCTTCACACACAAAAAACACAAGTCCTTTTTGTCTTTTCTAATTCCTCTCCACATTCACAGAGCCTTTTTTCCCCCCCCCAATTCTCGCCAGTGTTTGCACAGCGCCTCAGAAGACAGCGAAACATCCAAGAAAGACGCACTCGTGATTGTTATTCAATGGATGTCAATTTTTAATCTCCAATTCAATATTTAACATTCACATCATTCACATTCTCTCCGCGCCTCACATTTCTCGAGTGATTACCCAAATGTCTGAAATCTCTTTGGTTTTTCCTCCAATTCTTGTTTGTTATCTCACAGGCTTTGATTTCCTTTGAGAATTTTCAATTTCATTCAATGCAAAACCACTTTTTTTTTCTCTCCTTCTACAGCATATCTATAGTGAAAATCGCATTCGAATGACGCGGATTTCTATCAATTCTCGCGCTGATCTCAACATCCGCACCAAAGCCATCAATTCGCCAACTCACGAAGCGAATGCTCAATGAACACATAGTTCAGTCAGTTTTCATACAAGTGAAGACTACTTTTGCATTCTCACTTGATATTCACAGACTAGAGGTTATCCATAATTTATTGAGATGGAGAAAGCAAAGCCAAATATTTGTTCTTCACCAACCACAGAAAAAAAAACTGTGGGAAGTTATGAAAGTAATTTTTTCTGGGAATTTTTTAGAATCAGAATCATTATTTCGCTGTTTATTTAACCTGTGGGCGGAGTATTGCAGTGGGCGGAGCTTCGCAGGCACTGTCTTTGGCTAATTTCCTTCGCTGAAGAACACTTGTCCACCTGAATTGCCAGGAAAGTCTTGGCTATTTGCTGGCATGTTAAGAGTCCTTGAAGTGGATGGAATTGAGGAATGGGAATGATGCCAAGAGGGAGAGTAATGTGGACATATTGGCGTGTGAATCTTACCATTTAGAACATGAACCGTCACCGTGTAGAATTGAGCTGGGCTTATCGAGCAGGTGTAGTTGCCAGAGTCTGATTTGTTCACTCTGGCCACGAAGAGAGTGGAGTTTGCACCGCCCTCCATTAAATCAGTCTTTACACTGCAAGTAGATGGAAAAAGTGGGACAAAGTAAGTGATTTTGCACTGTGATTTCCTCATTCAAACACTTGATATGGCGTATAGTGTTTGCTCTGGCGGAGCGTGTGCGTCTTCTCGACGATGAAATGGTTGGTGTAAAAAGCTCTTCATCATCCTTTGCGTGGGAAAACCATAAGAATGATGTATTTGTTATAAATTTTTACGACGACAATCTCCCAGCGAGACGAAGACGTGCGGAGCTTTCTGCTCTTATCGCACCCTCACGCCCTGAGAAATTTGCACTCAGTCGCACACATGTGAGGTCAATGGGCGGGAAAAGCAAGTGTGCGCGATGAAAAATGAACATTTGATGGCTCACCTTATTCCTCCTCTCGTGACGTCGTAATTCAGGATGCGATCCCCGTGCGTCCAGAAGACGGAGTGGAAGGAAGACGGCATCCTCATGGCGCGCACAATACACGAGAGCTGTATTGTCGAGTCGACCTCGTAGTATTTGTCCTGAAGTGGCGCTCCCATTTCGTCGATGATCATCACCTCAGGAGCTGCAATTTCACAGTGAATCGCGATGTCATTTGCGTGGAAATCCTCGCGGCGCCGCCGTTAATTCACCCACGGAAAGTTCATTGAGACGACAGCGGAGTTACACATAAATCTGATCCCAACATTTAACCTTTCACTGGCGAAAGTCTCAAGTAAAATTACTCTTTTTACTTAATGGTGCATTTAACCCTTAACTACCTCTTCAACAATTTATGGCCAATTTGCCTTCTTCTCTCAAGCTGCTTGTGTGTGCGGAGGAAAATTTTGCATATAACTTCTTAGCTTATGTTGCGTTTTCTTCTGTTGCATCGTCCCGTAAAGCAATCCATCTTCAATTCTACTTTAGCTTCGCTCATAATCTTCTTTATGAAATATTCAGGAAAAACACTCCTAAATCTCCTGATGCATGCATAAAAAGACATGTATGAATTTCTATCTCCCGTGAAAGTGTCAGAAATTCATCTGAGAAGGGAAAGTGCATAAATTTCCCCCAAGAGCTTTTCCACAGGAAGAGAGAGAGAGAGAGTGAGTGGCTAAAGAATACACATATGAAATATGAATAAAATACAGGGTAAGAGAATCAAGTGCATCTCGATTATTGAAATGGGAAAAGTGCATGCTTTTGAAGATGCAGAGTTTTCTCATAAAAAATCATCCCTCAACCTCACAAGACAGGGTTTGAGAGCATATCGCGTGAGTCATTGTGTCACTGCGACAGGACGAAAAGAAGTGCCGTGCGAAGGAATCATGCAAAAGGGAGTGACTAAGCGATTGATTGCGATGTAATGTGGAACACATTTGCCAAAGAGCAATCATGCACCCACTGGAGAAGGGCGGCTGGGGGTGGGCCTCTGTGGAGAGTAAAAAAGGTTTATATGGAAAGAAGTGGCAAGAAAAAGCAGAATTGCGACCAGCCACGATTTCGCGCAAATATCGATTTCACATTACGAGTCTAGCATGACTTTGCGAGAGACGACATTCTTTTGGAGCCTCCGCAACTCAACTCACACCCGCCAAGAGAGATATTTCCCTCCCTCGCCGTGCTTTCAAGCTGCCTAAAGTGCATTACAATATTTTTTTTTCGCCGCCCCAAGAAACCGCACCCAATCAAATTTTTCAAATTTCCACCCCTTCCTCCGCCTTGAGAATCTCCACATCAGTTTCGCATCATTCTCAACAACAACAATAGACGAGTGGCGCGCAACAACTATTCAGCAAATATTGGAGCTGTTATTGGAGCTCATTTCACATTGTTCAGTCGCTATCGCCATGCACACGCTTCAGTGTTGGCGCAATTGAAATTTTCAATTATGCTCCTGAATTTCATTTAGCGCCACATGGAATTTCTCATCGCCAGGCTATTTAAACACACCAGTGGAAACGGTGAGAAAACATCAAAACACCCGTGCTTTAATATTTATTACACTGTCATTGCTTTATCTAAGATGTTTTACAATTCATGAGCTCAATCAGTCCCTTTTTCCTTCCAATCCCTCCTGCTTTCAAACGTTCTCGTGCACGTTTGCCTTGGAGACATTTTAGGGGAGATCGGGGTAGTTAACGATTTCGATAGGAGGAATCAAAATTTACTTCAATCAATTAGAATAAAGGCACGAGAATCAATCAAGAACTAATATTAATCTGCTTTTTAAGTGCTTAAACATTGTACGTAGTTTTTTAAAGCACTAAATTTGCAATCTTATTCTTCATTTAAAGTAGCGAAATATGTAGGTCACTTAAGGCAGTGAAAAAACAAGGGAAAAACAACTGTTTTTGAGGCATTTCTTCTTTTTTGGAGGAATAAAAGCGAAAATTTGCATGCATTTCCTCGGGAAAACTGTTCACCACAGAAATACTGATTGTCTCGAAGAGTCTCGAAAGTATTCAAATGAGACGCAAAGCGGTCATTTGGCCCAATAACCTATAAACCTCCCCGATGTGCTCATTCTCTTGGCAAACTTAAGAGCTCGTCGTCCGGAGCGGGAAACTATTTTATGTGTTGCTGGCATGGAAAGTCTGCAGTTATACATCCTAGTCTGCCACTTCCTCATCTGAATTACAATGAATATTTCATAAATACGCTCCTAACAGGTCTGAAAATTTGTTTATTCGCCACCCACCGCCCACTCCCATGTGTCTCTTTCCGCCTCTTACCGACGACATGTGAGCGCACAAGAGACGGCAAAGAAGGGATGGTGCGAAAAAAGCCGGCAACTCTTTTGCATTTTAAATTAATTTTTGCATTATTTCCATTCCCCCGAGGGGGGGGGGGTTTGAGGGCGAATGTCGGAGGTCGTGAAATGATGGTGAAAAATTTGCTAAACCCATGCAAGTTGCATGTGAAATTTTCACCATATTCCACAACCTCCTCATCCCATGAATTAAGAAGTCAGTTCGGGCGTTGGATTGTGTTTGCGCCAAAGTGCGCCTTCCTGTTGATTAAAAATGAATTCATGCATTTTTTTCTATTCGGCCAGTGTAAATACGCGGCGGAGTGTTTTCTGGTCCACAAGATCATTTATCATGTCATATGTTACTCGTGCGGAATATTTATGATTTCTCTCTCTCTCTCTGTGTTGGGAATCGTGGCAAATTACAAAATGTATGCATGATGATTTACAGTTGGGGGGCGAAATTAAAAGGCCCAAAAAGCACTGAGAGTGCTGGTGTGGTTAATTTTCAATTTTTATGCTAATACACTTCCTTCGGGGCGTCGGCACATTTCGGTAGCCATGCTTTTCATGTGTAATGTGAATAAATAATATTTCTATTTGCTCACTTAAGCATCGTCAGTGCGAACGAGGGGCGCTTTTAATAAAGCTCCCATTTGGCCCTCATTTTTCCCAGCCTCGCAGTGCAGCAAGGACAGCAAGATTGCGGCATCGACTTACCATTAATATGCAAATTCACTTGTATGACTCTTGGCGGGTAGGTGGAAATCTGACACTCGTACGTTCCCTCATCAATTCTCTGCGTGGGCGAGATTTTCAGGCGCCAATTGCTGGGGTACTGGAAGTCGACCGTGTAGCGAGGGTCGCCGCTGTACGTGTGATGGCCCACGGTGAGCAGCTCCATGCCGTCTTCGCCCACCTCCAGGCGCCGCCGCACCCACGACACCTGCGAAAGACCACATCAGCCACACCGTGCAAGCCCGGCGCGCGGCACGTACCGTTTTGTCCTGGAGGAGGCTGATCCTGCAGTTCAGATACACGCTGCTGCCAATCTGCACGGTGATGTTCGTGACGTTGCCCACGGTTTTTATGTCCTCGAAGTGCGGCCCGTACCTTTGCACAGCGGAGAAGTACAAATGAATTGGCTTCTGGCAAGTGCAGATACAAGATTGAGTGTCGCGATTGTGTGACGAAACTGACCTACATTCATTGTGAGGCTGCTCCGGAGCAGAGTTTCAGCCGCACAACAACACAGGCTCTCAAATTAAAGTGAATCTGAGTAGCTTTCAGACATAAGCTGCTGGTAAGCCTAAAAACTGTTGTGTTTTTCCTTTTTTTTAAATAAAAAACACGGCAACTTTTGTAGAGCTGAAAGCCCTACTCAAAAGTCTCATTTTTAATACTAAAATATTCACAAGAATTACTCAGTAATCTGTTCGTGCTTCTCAGAAGTAGCACAAATAATTTTATCTAATATTATTGGATATAAAGGTGTAAATTTTAGACATTCAAATCACACCAAAATATTCCGAGATTATTGAGATGTCTCGGTTTCGAAGTGTGTGAAATATTCTGTAGAAGTTTCTGAACAAAAATTCACTTAATGAACGCAAAAGAATCCGAGGAAATTCTTGCGAAATTCTTTTCCAGCTGGGTTTATCTCAATTGCAACATATTTCAGCTTCTGTTATCATAATAATCCGGCCAAAAAGCTATATTTTGGGGTAGAATTTCAATAGCATTTCTACTCAATCGTCACGCTAACTCAAATTCTAACGATCTCTCCTACAACATAATAGATAAGAACTTCAATTTTCATCAGTTCCGTCTCACTACAGCAGCTTTCAACGTGTTAATCAGTTAATCAATGACTACCCTTCAGAAAGATGTCTTAATTTGCGATACAATCTATCTCAGTGGAGAGCTTCAAACTGTGGCCAATTAAAGTGTCTTAAAATGCTTAACTATTAATAAAGTTGCTCAACTCTTTAGCGTGCTCGAGAAATTTTGGGTTCAGAGATCTTTATCAGGGAGGATTTTCCAGCTTCCTCACAACTTCACTAAGCTGTTGGATTATAAAACCCTCGCCGTGAATTCTTCATGTTGTGTCCCATTACAACAGGATTTCCCTCAAAGATTCATCACTCACTATTGATTACCTCCACATGTTGTTGCTTAGAAGGAATTACTTCAACGCCTTGGCAGAATTGAAGCGCGCGTAGTTTTCTGTGCGTTTTCCCATCTCAACTTTGATAAGTTATTGAGCGGAGAGGGAGAATTTATAGGCACTTCTTGGGTTGTGGGAAGAAAAAAAAAACTTTCCCTCGCCTCTGGGAAGATGTCCAATTTGGAGGCCATAATTCTTAGAGTGGAGATGAAAATGGGTGGGAAATCAAGTGGAAAATGAATGTCTTCTCGCAAGAGATCTTCCGTCCCGAATCTCTATTAATTAAGAAATTAATTAATAGCAAATCTAATTCAATTCCACGGACAAATCAAATTTCCTCCTGTGAATTTCCCCAGTGACACACATCGGGTGAGAAATAATTTTCCTCTGGCCATCGCAAATCTAAAGAATATCTGCTGTGGGAAATCCAATGAACGCCACTCGCTCTGGACGTTAACGAGGGTCAGTCTCTGGGGCCCTGCCGGGCTTCTCACCTATCGTTGTGGTGGTGGTGCTTGCCGGGCGAGTGCGAGTCGAAGATGAAGTTATTGATGGGATGGTCGGGCTTGAAGGGCGGCCCGAGAGGACTCCTGGCGGCCGACGAGTTGCCCGCGCTGGTGTTCGTCGGCGGGTGATGGCGGTGGTGGGGCGGAATGGTTCGCAGCCGCACGGGGGCGCGCGTCGAGGGCGGCTCAGCAGCCGGCGCCGTGGATGGCTTCGCCGGCGCCTCGGTGGTCAAAGCGTGCGCCACGGGCGTCGCCACGGGCGTCTCTGGCGGTGTCGTCGAAGCCCAATCGATCGTCGAGGTGTTCTCTGAAAACAAGTGAAACCGCGTTCAGTGTTTTTGCCAAATTTCACAGTCACACTTGACGCTCAAGGGGGAGAAAATACAGCTGCAACATGTACAATACTTTCTTGAACTCCCAACATTTTCTCAAAAGTCACTTAATTTGCCTTGAACTCGTTGAATATCCTTAAAAAACTCAAAGCATTGAGCAAATTTTGCCGAGAACAAAGCTTATGTGTGAACTGTACACCACTTGCGCTCGCACTGTCTCTCCCTTGGCGACACTCATCGGAAGGGATGACGGAACAAGAGGACAGTAACGAACTTGAGGCGAACAACAAAAATTCCTTTAATTTTTCGCTCAGTCCCCACCTCAGCTTCCCATCTGCCAATTCGACTGCACGTTGAGAAAACATGAAGATATGTGGAAGGAAAATTGTATTTGAGATGTTTGCCTGAAGCTGTACATTCACTAGTCTCTTCATCGTCCCTGCTTTTAGTGCTATCTTCATTTTCGACATCACTCAGCCAGAAATGATGATGAAGGTTGATAGGAGATGGAAACTGCCCGAAATCCAAAAGATCTACTCTCGTATTCTTTCCTGTTTGTCGTGAGCAAACACACTGCAAATCACTGGGGATACCGGAAAACCACCGAAATTGGCACACAAATGTTGATTTCGAAAACAAACATCTCAGAAATACCTCGAGGGGCACATCATTTCTTGGCATTCGACGGCTTGCATGTGTGTCAATAATTAAAATCGAAAAGTTTCAATTGCGCCGCCCACTCGGGTGCCCCGCCCACTTTCCAACTCTCCACTCTTCGTCCTTCTAAATATGTACTCTCGAACGAAACATTGTGCTCGGAAATGATAGTGTCTCGATGATATTTATTAGGTGTCTTTCCCCACAAATCATGTTGGATGGTTGAGTGTTTATCCTGTGAATTGTTACCCCGGCAAGTGGGTCATCATAAAACTCTCCTGGCATCTGACCAACAGCCCGGGGGTGGCGAATTCAGGAGGTTCGACTGCTGAGGCAGCAGATAAGGCGCCAAAAAGCACCCACTAAATTCTATAGGCGCCCCCCGTGGAGGAGGAAAATGAAAAATCCTAGGGAGTGCACAAGCAGAGACACTTCCTGGGTGCGAGATTACTCCGAGTGCCGCTCTCAGCTCATTGTAAGGAAGATCAGCGATAAATTGCACATAAATTCTCCATGTTCGGGGTCGATTGCTCAAAACTGCTCCCTGGCAGATAGCAATCGCCCGAGAGTTGGTAAATCTTGAGAGTTTGGGTATTGTGTGCTCGTACCTGGTAAATTGAGCGGCGGCAGCTCCACTTCTTCCTGTTTACTCCGCGTCATTTGGCCGCTATCTCCGTGACTGTGGACCTGAATGTCGTCCTGATGGCTCGCCGCTGTGCTGTGCATCATCATTGTCGCTATTGTGATCAGCAAATGCAGGAAATTGAGAGTGTGGAGACGATGCATCTTGCTATTTAACTGCTCTCAGCACATGAAGCCGCTTGCGTCTCTGGCTCTTTATCATTTCTCAGGAATTTTTCCCCGCACAACCTCACAATTTCCTCTGCCGCCCCCGAATCCACCTCACGACACACTGCGCGGCTCTTTAGTACTCTGTGCCGCCACTCTGCACCATTTGAATCACTCCACTGCACTTCTCACCTTCTTAATTGCATGAGATAAAACTTGTCTCTTGGGTTCGCAGCGCAGCAACTTTCTGGGACGTTGCCCACAGCAATTTCTGCTTAATTCACTATTCCCTGATCCCGCAATCGCTCTTCCGACACGATGGCCCCGTGAGAGATCCGGAGGACCCTCTGCAGATAGAGAGTGAGATCTAGACAACACTTCCGGGGCCGCAAAACCTCAACCCACAACTCAACTGGCAGCCACTCGAGCGTCATAATGCACATTCATAACAAGAGACTGCAGCGAGACTGTTCAATGCGAGTGCGAAGTTCGGTGGGCGAGTGTTGTTTTGGGCCACCCACTTCAGCGCTCACAACAACATAACCACCATGTCGAGACGGGCTCTAAGTGGGTATTGTCATGGGGCTGACAACTCTCTTACATGACTATCGAGTTTACTTCCCAAATAAACTATTAGTAACTATCATAGACTTGAGGAGGATTGCACAATAACACACCAAAGGATATTCAAATTCGACTAAAGACAGTCAATAAGCCCCACAGTCAGGATATTTGGCACAAAGATACGTCCTAAGCACACTGTTAAAGTTAATGTGCAAAGAGTGGCTTTAAATGGTTGCCAAATTACCAGAAATATCTTCGTTTCGTATCAAATTCGATACAAGAATGTTCTTTGCGGCAATGCAAGTCCTAAAACTTTTGTTTCGACACTTTTTCATCAAGTTGAAAATCCAGAATTTAGAGAAAGGAGGATCATTTCTCAACTTAGTTTGCTTAATTTGAAATACTTAATGTTATTTGATGTTAAAAATATCGGTTATGACAATTGTTTATCATGTTTTGCGTGAAACAAACTCAAAAGTTGAATAAGAAACTAATTTTCCAGTAATATTCTCGTGCAATTGTAGGTATTCTTCATCAGTTGTAAGTTATTACGAGTTTTGTTTTATATACGATTTGTACTGTTTTCCCTTGAAATATACTTGTTAAAGTATTCTTATTATTCAGCAAAATTCCATCCACTTCCGCTTCACTTCAGTGACACACATTTTTCATTTCGTCACAGGCGCGCTTTGAGAGTGTGTTATAGTGTGGCAGTCAGTGAGATTTATGGAATTTGTTATATTGTTTCCCGCCCACTTCCACTCGACATTCCAGCCCCAACTTCAGCGTGCACCCTCAGTGCGGCTCCCCGCGACTGATTAGTATGTTGTACTGCACCCCACGCCACCCGGCGCTCTTGCCAGCGCTGCCGTTCGCATTGTGCGCCATGCAAATGAATTATTATTTCAACTGTATAATGCAATAAAGGCAAATAAACCGAAACTGGTAGTCATTTTAGTGGTGAATGAATGCATTATGTATGGGAGAAAAGCTTCAATTTCGACTAATTAGCTCGCGCTCTTATCCCAAAACTTGTCACTCTCAATGCATTCACTCTGCGTTCACGGCGGAAATTTAAGTCCTCTCATCACGTTTCTCAAACCCTTATATAATTAGCTTGCAGAAAATGTGAGTGCAAGACTTTCGAAATGAGACTGATGTGCCAATTTGCTGGGGAGATACGCAAAGGACCTCATGGAATTCTCTCTCTCTCGTCTGTGCATTGGATTTACTATTGGAAATTCAATTTTAAGCCGTCTTGCAGGAAAATGACGGTCAGCTTGCTCAGAAATTCCATTTGAGTGGGTGAAAAGCTAAAAAGCTCATGGCAGAGAATGTGGAGAGAAGCATGTATTTTTCATAGCGCCTTAAATCACACCCACTTAGATATTTAAATGTTAAAATTATTGCACGTGAATTATTAAGAAAGCTAATCTCAATGCCTGAAACAGGACGGGAAAAGTCTCTCGCAGCCACAAACGGCGGGGATTTTGGTATCTGGAAAAGTTTCCCAGCACATGTGGGATTATTGATGGCTGTGAAAATCATTCTCAATGGGAACATGAGCAACAAAATTTATAAATAATGTCAGTCAACCTTCGCGCTCATTCCAGTATTGAAATTCATTCGTTTCTAGGGCACTCGAGAGGCGCACAGTCCGTAAAGCTCTCGACTTTACAGTGCGGCGCAACTTGGAAACTTTCCAATAAACTGCAAATCGCATAAATTAGAAATGGGAACTCTTACATAAGCGATCCTGACAAGAATATGGGCGGAAATGATGCTTATCTGGTCGGATGTGTTATTAATGCGCCTTCAGAGCCACTCTGATATTCCCAGGGAGTCAATTTATGAAAATAATGCCAAATCCCACAATGATACAAAAGGATGCTCGCGCTGAGTGATGAATATTGCGTGAAACCTGTTGGAGTTTATTGAATTCCTCGCCAGGATAATTGATTACGGCAGCCGTCAGAGAAAAGCCATAGAAAAGGGAGAGATTTTTTGCATCTTCACGCCTAAATGGCGAAAATATCAAAAATACCAATGCGAGAGAGTTTTCATTAATATCCCACAAAAATCCTGCCCATTTTGAGGGTTTCTCGCCCAGATAATTACTGAGGATTTGCTCACAGAACCCACACAAAACAATTTAGAAGAGCAAATGAGATTTGGTTAACCACACATTTTCCCTTAAATCCATCGACAGTTTCTCGAATTTAGCTTCTTCTTCGATTTAATCTGCTATTCTTCACACATTCTGCAACAAAAAGAGGGATGAAAAATCGTATTCACGTTTTCCAATGATCGCGCGCGCGAGGGAAAAAATGCCCCGCGGTGAATATTTCCTCCTGACATGTTTGTGTTATCATGTCAACTCGTCTTGCTCTCATTTTCCAACTCCCTGCAAAGGTACTCGTCCCTAATCTTTAATGATACTCCGTGTTCTTTGATGTAAGACGCCAAGGAAAACTTTCCACGAGCTTCTCAAACGCATTTGATCTCTTGAGAAATGGTGTTTGGATAAAGCTTGTAAATATAATAACATTTCTACGTGTACAAAGGATAAAACGAAGGAAATTGCAAGAAGAACAATTGAGAAAGAAAGAAAAGAATTAGGAGATGTCTTTATTCTACTTTACTAGCAAAAAAAAAGCAAAAATCAATTTCTACGAGCGAATTGAAGTTTTATCCTTAGATTTTACTCTAGGAAGAGTAAAAAAAAATTGTAAGAAATGTACATTTCGTGTACAAAGTATAATTTTGAATTTATTGCACTACATTTCTTGACAATAATAGAGTTTACAGCTCTTTCTAATCAAGATCTGACCTCAAATCCTTTGACATCAGAGCTTTTCTTGCTCTCTAAGCTTTCAGAGTCTTGAGTTTGTCGTTTTCACTCCGCTTTTCCCTCATAAAATCTTTCTAAACTATATATACTTTCCACAACATTTCATTACCTGAGGCCAAACTTGTCTTTCACAACTTCAAGATGAAAACCTCACAATCAGCTTTTAATTTGCACAGTCTTACCTTCTGTGAAGGGTGTTGGAAAATACTGAAAACCCAGGAAAGTTTTCTCCTTATTCAATGACAAAGAGTGTCATTTTGAGAGGAAAATTGCACAAACTATGCTTCTATTCATTTCGCATATCACTCTTCATCTTATATACTATAAAATGGTGTTTTTGCTTCTCTCCAGAATTGGATTTTGTAATGAATATTCGCTTCTGTGGCAGTGTTTGGCCAACATTTTCCCTTGCTTTATAGCGCGATTGTATGATGGCATTGTTGGGCTGTCAGTGGGTGGCGAAATATTTTCGCTGCCACCCTCTCGATGACCCAGAAGTGTGGCGAGAGCAGAATTCACAGACTCAATGGTCAATCCAAAGTTCTATAATCAACACAAATGCTTGCAGAAAGAGAATCGGGGCGCAAAACTACCCCGGAGGGCGAAAAAGCAGAACGAGCGCCTATAAAAATGGCCCAAATCCCGCGCCTGTCGGGATTATTGAGGCAGCATTCGATCATGAGCCGGAAGCAGAGTGACATACATTTCAAATGTGTTTTCCTCATTCTTCCTCCCCGAACGGGGGGCGCGCCGAGAGGGTGAGGATTTGGGGGGTGGATGACGATTTGAATTGGTGACAACTTCGGCCAGAGAGACTTCAGCAATTGTCGCTGCACGACTGAAATACAGACACTTTATCACTGTCCATCCGATTATGTCAGTTCCAGAAGAACACACTAATAGTTTTTATTTGTCTCCCCTTTCGATCACGGACAATTCCCGGCCTCGGCGATAAATCAGACCCGAGGGAGCGTGGATTTCTATGGGAATCATTGTGACCCAGAATTTTCCAAGAGGGAAAATCTCACTTTCACTGGGGAGAGCGTCTTTTGTGGTCAATGTGGAGATCAATGACTCGGATTTTTGCCTCCGAATTCTCGAGGCCGCACAGGGAAAAGGAGCTTGAAAAAGAAATTGAGGAGGAGATGGAGCTTAGAGGAAAAGCACCCCATTCTTTATTATTCATATTGAGACGCTGGGACTCAATTCTTGCCGCTCTCACCACTGATATCATCATTCCCAGAAGTGTGATATGCTGTGGAGTGTATGCTGGAGAATGCAGAAGTGCTCTCGCCCCACCTAAGCCATCGAGACTCTTGGGATTTCCTTCCAAAATTATTCCCACCCTCACCACCAGCATCGGTGTTGACGTTAGTCATGCGGGGGTGGCGTTTTGGGGGGTGGAAATGGCTTGATTTGAAATTTTGCCTGGTGTCACACATGAGTATTATGCAAAACCTGGGCGGGATAAATTGCAAAGTGACCCCGAAAGGACGGAATTCATCTCCGCACAGCATCTCAGTCACACACAAAAAGACGTGCTCAAGTGAAACTCAAGGATTACCGTCACATTCAAAATTATCACCACCCCAGAGTGATGCCTAATTGAATTAATTCCCAGGCAAATCCCTCAATCATCCTCTCACGACAGTCAATTTTGCAGTAAGCGATGCCCCAAAAACACGCCAGACAATAAATCACATTATTTGTTCTCCAATCACTCAATCCACAATTGTCGTCACACTTTTGCCCAGCAACTTCCTCACGATTCACTCATTAATCAGGGTGAGTTTAGAGCACACGGTCAGGCTTCGCGCCCCGCTCTGTCTATTAATCACGCACAGTTTCGCGAACTCCACCTCAGTTTACGTAATGTCAACCACGATGGGCGGCAAATCCCATGCTTTGGGCGCGCTCAAGGGCCGGAAGCGTGCTCTCGCTGCCAGATCCACGTCCACACTGATCCGGCTGTGCGCCGCTCGCCAGCGAGATGACTTTATCAGACTGCTGTTCGTGGTGAAGCGCTCGCGAGGGGTGCGCATGAGCGCACTTCCCCTCATCGGCGGGTGGCGTCTCATCCCCCGGCGCTGCCAATTGATGTACTACAGCCGAGTTACAAGTCCCTGTCGTCCGTCAGCGCATCGTGGCAGTGAAGGTCACGGGGCGGCAGCTTCCCGGCCACTCTGGCCACCGCAGGAACTTGGCCATCGCCCGAGGCGCTCTGCGGCTTCCAAGACAAATCTCATTACGACCACCCACCCGAGAGGCAACCCTTCGGCGGCGTGCAGACCTAAATCTGATTATCTCGCACTCCCCGGCGCTCCTCGGCCGCTCCCCGGCCAAATCACCACAATTACAGTCAATTATCGGAGGTGTGAGAGATAGAGGAAGTTCCCAAACATGGGTCAGATAATTAATTAATTTATCTATCCACCCTGCCGCCGGCGTGATTTGAATAAGCAATGAACGTGTCGATTGATAAAAATGGTTCGCCCTTTTTCCACTCCTGCATTCGATCTACCTTTGGCGCCATTTTCTCAGCATTATTCACCGCTTCCGCCCAATCAATTCCCCCCGCCACCCATTTGCTGCGACTAATGGCTGATTTATCACACATAAATGGAATTTTTAATCAAAGCCCAGTTAATGAGAGCTAAACAATGAAGCACTCTCATATTGTTCATGGACAGAGATAAAAGATATTTTGTCTTCTTTGACACAGATGAAAATTTTCCGTCAATGACGAGATCGATTTTATGCAATGAAATATGCATTTAATTGTGAATTCTGGGTTATTTATGGCACACAATACGAATTCCCAGAGCGAAAGAAGAGACACTTTAATGAGTCTTAACTGAGTAAATCGATATTGAATATTTAAATGGAATTTTTCATTTATTTATACAATTCGTATTTTTAGGTGCACATCTATTTCATGGCATTTGACCTTATTTTCTAAATTCTGAAGAAGATTTTCATTAAAGTTTGTTCAATATTAAAAAAGAGATGTTAAAGAATTTTATTCGCCTCAATTCTTATCTTCTTTTCGTGTTACAAAAGCTTATAGTGAATGCAACAGAAGACGTGGAAATGCATTAAGAACAGGAGCAAAATTAAGGTTTTTCAGTTAACTTTTAGATCATAAAAGGACTTAAATACTTAAGACTTAACTTATTGTGGTTTAAGTAATAAAAATCCACCCATTATTTACTGCATTTCAACTGATACACCTCTGTTCCGAATTGCCCACGGAACTCTTGCTTAATTGCAGTACACACCCCAATTTCCCACGTAAGATAATCTGGTTAGCTTACACATAATTCATGTTGTCAAAACTTGTGGTATTATCCATTAGGCGATGTGTGGGAGCACATTCAAGCGACGATGCTCAAGATATTTCCCAAAACGCCCAAATGCGAGTCTATTCACGTGCCATTATGTGGCAGTTTTGCTATCATCCGCGTGTCTCACAGTGTCCTGTGACCGGATAGTCTGACTAAAAGGCATGGCACAATTCCCCAAAGTCTTCAGGAGCCATTAGCTGATCGGGCGAATTGAAAATTGACCCATTGAGAAATTTTCCCAAACTTCTCAATTACAATAACACGAAAAACTCACTCGAGACTTCACCGGAAATTCTCCCAGTAGAATTTCAAAGGGGTTTTCACGAAAAGGGAAAAATCTCACGAATGTGAAACTCAATATCCATACTGATCATTCGCGAAATGCTATACTCTTTAACGAGATTTTGCCTGAAGTTGCAAGTCATGAAATTTAGCCCAAGAGATTATATATATTTAGTTCCATTTCGGGTATTATTTTGAGGTTCATTATATTGGTATTGTTTAGCCAAGTCATAAATTCATTCCGCAAAACTTTTTCATGCACTCCAATTAAGAGTAATTGGGAAATTGTGCTCTCCAGCAACCCGATGAATAACTTCCAACTATTGTGTATCTCACGAGCCAAATCACAGACGGGTTAAATTGTTATTATCATCCCTTGGGAAATATTGATTACAACAATTAAATAAAGAGTAGTTTGTGCAATTAAAAACGACATTTTGCAGCGTTCTTTCCCCCCAATTATTCTTCCCTAGGGAATGGATTGCAACTCATTTGTGGCCATCGCGAAGTGCCTTATCACAGGAAGCGCGGTCCGAAATGCAGCGATTCGAGGACTCTGAATAATGCATTTCACCATGGCATTCGGTAAATTGAGCGAATGGAAAGGCAATTGCAGCTAAAAGTGCTTCCCATGGATATACAATTCATATTGAGCATGTAATTCAATTGAGTGAATTTGTGCGATGAAGATGTTCTGGGAAAAAGCACCCAGCGAAAATATAAGAGCCATAAAATTTCGCAGTGAACTTTTGGCTCTCAGAGAATGAAAACACTCATGATTTGCTAAATTTTTCACTAACTCACTCCTGCAGAGAGCTTTATCGCTTTATCTCGCCTCCCACGCCGAAAGCTCACACACACGTTCTTCACCCTCAGTCAGAAACTTTACGCCATCACAAAGGAATCAAAGAAATTCACCTCTTCTCGCCCAGAACTCTTTGTCACTTTGGTGGATTTGCAGGGAGTTTCTGGCAAGTGGAATTTTCAAGTTGCAAAAATGACAATGTGACAGGATCATGAAATTTCCTCCTGGCACGTTCGGGGCACTGTGTTTCGGATGTTCCCACACCCACAGAAGCATCATCTCACCATTTATTGCTGCCAGAGTATTTGATTACAGACGAGCGGCAAACATAAAGCTTTGAGTAAATTGAATGTCAAGCATGATAACTCACACCACGCGAGAGGAAGTTTGTGTGTGCATCTGGAGAAAATCAAATTTCCGATTGACTTTCCTCCTTTTTACGGCTCCCGCCCGCCCTTCCTCGCCCACCCGCCAATTGTTCTGGGCGGACGTCGAGTCGCTCACCCCAGATGGCAGACGCACAGCCTGGAAAATGAGCCCGGGCGGCAGAAACTAACTGTTTACTGTGTCGTCTTCCTTGAGGAAATTGACAGAGGACAAAAGGGGAAGAGAGTCTTTTGTGGCCATTCACAAGGTTGGGGTTGTGGCCAAAGAAGTGGCCTTCGTTGAGAGCCAAAATTGTGAAGAATAAGGAAGATTACATGAATCATCTCAAATCGATGAACAGCTCGTGACTCATTTTACGCTCTGAATTTAATCCCTTAACGCCAACACAAAATCTTGTCTCTCCTAAGAATTTAAGATGTAGATATAGAAAACGTGGATTTACAGATATTTTATAAAGCTTTCGTGTTTTAGGAAATTCATGTGTCAAATTCGACACATTCTGATAGTATTCTGGACTCAAAAGTAAGACAGAAAAGCATAGAAAATCACTTTTAAAGAATTAATGTTTCAATGGAGACTAAATAATCGCTAAAGAGTTAAGCAATGCACAAAAACACGCGTACAGAGTCATTTTTCATTAGATTTCAGCGCAGTTCTTCCCACTCGTTGATACTTTTTCCAAGACCACTTTCTTCCTCATTCCTCAGTTTTTCACACTTTTTGTCTCAGCTTATGTAACAAAATATTTTGAGGATTATGGATTAAGGGGGAGTGAAATATAACGTGCAATTTTTTAAACATTACTCACACACTAACTCTGTGTTGTGTTTCCCGGGAAATCCTCATCGCAGCGCAGCTTTGATGTTCTTTCCCACCGAAGAAGCTGGAATTCTGCGACGATGAATCGGAATGGACACTGAGTTATACATCAGCGTCTCCTTTCGCGCAATGAATCGTTTATTTTCCCACTTTTATGGGGTAAACAGAGCACTGGCGCGAAGCCAGCGATTGCATTTCAAAAATTATTGTGTACATTCCGAAGAAGTGTGGAAAAAAGCCCGACTTCCTTCTCACTGACACTCAATTGTGCCCAATAAATTCCAGTGAATTGTTTCATGGTGGAAAATAGCGACAGAATTCGAGGAATGCGATGGCTTTCGGAGAGAGGTGACACTTGGGATTTGGGGGAGAAGGAGTGAGAGAGAGAGAGAATATGGCTAAGTAAATTTTGCGAAATGTAACAAAGAATCCCCAAGTATCTGTCGCCATTCACCGACTCTCGGGGTTATTTGATTACCATTCACCAATAAATTAATGTTGATTTCTTCAGAAAATAGACTTTTCCATGGCTATCTCGTCCTCTTGTGTCGATTTCCCCTCGCCATCGCATTGTTGTCTTTCCCTATTCAATCCTCACTATCGTGTTTCTTGACCATAACAATGTCACCACAATGTCCCTCCAATTAAACCTCCACCCACGCCTCAATTTATCAAATATTTGTCCAGGAAATATCGAAATTTACTCTCGACATAAAAGCACCTCACTCAAACCCGAGTACATTTCACAATACAACAAAGAGCATTAATGGCGAAAGGGGGATGAACTCAATGGGCGTGAAATTGTATGGCTGAAAGGGATTCTGATGTGGTGAGGCTTCGCTTCGGCAAAAAGAAACAATCTGCCGTGCGCCCAAAACCCTCCACGGCACGACAAAGTTTAATACATATTGCACATTGTGTGCTGGAAAAAGGAAAACTTGAATTTGTAATTAATAGCTAACAACTCCATTGTGAATATTTCGCTATACATTTTCCCGCACACTGTTGATGTATAACACTTTGTATCACTCACCCTCGACATTGTGCCCCCGCAGCCGCATCTTCCGACCTTTTCACACCCCCGCGGGCCCATATTGAGTGATGGAGCAGCACTCGCAGACTGTCTAATTGTTCAGCGAAGTGAGTTTTGGGAAAATAGCGGAGTGTGGGAATGAGAAATAAATCTTAAAGTTTTGCTTATCCTGTTTGTTTGTGCTTTTAGAGCTTCACGCCACCATTCACTGTAATTAAAGCTCTTCATTCTCCACCACTCACGGCGCATAATCCACATCCTCGAGATATAGGGAAAACAATG